TGTGTCTAATTTTAGATGAATTGCAATATGTGTTCCCTATCCCCCGTGTCTGCTGGCGCCCGGAGGAAAGCGGCTCCCGGCGTTTCCTTCCCGGGGCACATTCCCGTAGGAGCGTGCCAAGGAAATCGCCTTTAAATAGCAGCCGGGATCTGGGCGGTGGGAGGCTGGCTCGGCTCCGCGGGGGCGCCGGGGAAGGGATGGCATCTCGCCGGCATCCGCTGGAGCGGGGTTGTGCATCCCAGCAAACCCCGGCTCCCTGGGCTTTCCGCCGTCCCTGGGGGACGATGCCAGTTGCCGCTGGTGTTACGGGACTTTGCCAAATCACCTGCGTGCCTCAGTTTCCCCATTTGCAGCAGTGGCATTAACCATTTATCCTCTGTAAAGAACTTGATCCTTTGGTGCAGTAAAAGCGCATTTTTCTCATGTGTGCTTAAGGGAGGTCTTGGGTGACGGTCCGGGGCTGTGTGACTTCGTGTAGCCTCCAGCTCTGTCCCTGCTCCTGGGAATCAGTGAAAACTGCTGATTTGGGAGATGCTGATTTGGGAGATGCTCACCCCCGCTGCATCTCGCTGTGTTTAGGGTGATGATGGGTCATAGCCCTGTTTTGCTGCGCGGGGTGTTTGCATGCGACCGCTCGGCAGCCGGGGCGATGCGTGGTGTGTCCTGCGGGTACCCGAGTCCTGATTTCCTGCCGATAATTACCCGGGATGGGGGGAAGGAGCTGCTGGAGAAGGCCGGGGGTGAAAAATTAATCCTGACTCCAAAAGGTCACCTGTGTTAGCTTTCCCGGCTGGTGCCTGCGCCGTGAGGCATGGGGTGCTGGGGGCTTGTGCCCCTAAGATGTTGCACCCCAGAGATGACCGTGGGGCTCATCCAGTCCTGGCTAAGCCAAGACGGGAGCAAAACGGGCTTTTTCCTGTTGGTTGGCTCTGCTTCGTCCTGGACCAGGAGTCCTGGGCTCCCACCCTGAATTTCATCGTTCTGGGGAGCCCACGCTTGCTAAAGTTTGGGTATAAACCCTTTTTTTATAAAGCCTTTCCACTTTTAGGTATGTTATTCGTGTAGCATCCCCATCCGATGATGCCCCGAAGGGTCTGGGCGGTGTCGTTACCCCCCTCGGGGTACGGGAGCATGCGATCCCGTCATGATCCCACCACAGATGGTGCCAGGCTGCCCTTTAGCGTGGGAGCCTTTTCAAGGCTGCTCGATAAAAGAAAAGAGAAGCTGGTGGAGCACGTCCCACGGTGCAGGAGGTTAAACAGAAAAGGTTTAAGCGTGCAATTAACTTTGAAGCGAGAGGAACATAGACTCGGCGGGTGAAAGAGTGCTGGGCAGGCTGGTGGGCAGGCAGCCACGTTCTTTCGTGGCAACGGAGATTGAATTAGACGCCGTCCATTGTACTTGGCTGTTTGTTTGGTCTTTCTTTTCCTCCCTCTTCTTTGCAAATCCTTCATTCTTCCTCTCCCCCTCCCCGGCTTTCCTCCTCTCCATCCCCAGGGAGCGGGATGCTGGGTAGCAGCGGTACCCAGGGGATGCTGAGAGGCACCGGTACCTGTCTCCCCGGTGAATCCCTCAAGCCACCTCTTTTTTTCTTTCTTTTATTTTTTTAAATTTTGGTTCATCTGGTGTTTAACCCCCATGTTAGCACTCGTCCCTATCCTCCCCTCTGCCTGGGCACGCCGCGGTGCTGCGGGGGCTTCATGCTGGGCTGCCCCGCAGGGTGTTTAACGGGGTGCGTCTCGTCCTTGGCACAGGCTCTGGGTTTGGAGGGGTTTAGGCGACTTTGGGGTGTTCAGGCATCCTCTTGGATGCATCGCGCCCCCGGGGAGCAGACCATCATGCCCTCGGTAGTATTTTTAGCCACTCTCGCGTTCGAGTCGCACCTCCCACGCTCACTGCCTTCATCCCACCGCCCGGAGCTGCTGTTACCCTGGCCTCGAGCCAGCGCAGGAGCTGGGAATTGGGGGCTCCTTGTTTCCACCTGGTGATTTTCAGGGAGCATGTGGACCCGGAGCGGTCCCGGCCGGCTCCCACAGACCACGTCCCGCTGCCATCAGCCCTCAGGATGGGTATAACCATCCCCGTTGCTGCAGACGGGTATTTTGGGTTGCAGCCTCCCTGCCCTCCTTGCAAACACGTTGATGAAACCTTAATTTTCTGAAAGCCACTCTGGGTTTACCCCCTTTGACTTGCCACAGCTGTTGGGGGACCCACAGCCACCCCCTCTGGAGCTGGGACGTTGGCATTTAATTGCTCAGATGTTAATTTTTATGCTCCTATTAATCTTGTGATGGGGAGGGAGTAGGGGCTGGAGGTCGAGCCTCTCCCCAGCCCTGCCCTTGGATGGGGAGAGGTGGTGCCAAAAGCGTCCCATAGCTCATGGAAACCAAGGCTCTGCAAAACCCTTTTTATTTTTTCCCTGTATATACAAATCATAGACAAATTTGTTGGTGAGGTGGAGCGGCCGGTCGAGCCGCCTTCATTTCGCGTCCTGGATGGGGGGAGCGGATGGGAGGGAAGGCTCGCGCTGGGAAAAGCCATAACAATAAACCTGTCCGAGGAGGGAGACGGATCGGCTCGGCCAGCTGTGCCTCCGCCAGCAAAATATCTACTCCTCGTAATTGCATTTTAAGCTCCTGGAGCCTGGGCATCGTCTAGCAGGTGGCCGAGGATCCAGCCTTGGGGTGATGGAGCAGTGGGGAAACTGAGGCACGGGACCAGTTGGTGCCAGTGGCTGCGCTGGGGATGGCGGCGGGATGCGGGTGGTGGAGATGCAGCCCAGGAGGAGGAGGTTGCATCTCCCCCGATGTTGTTAGATGCTGGGAATAGTTTATAGGGGGTGAAAGAATCGCTTTTCCCTGGGAAACGGGGCTCTGCCAGCCTGAAACGCTGTTTGTCTCTGCTCTGGTTTCTCAGACAAAAAAAAAAACCCAACACTAAGAACAAATTTCTCCCTCCCAGAATATCCCATTGCAGCAGATCTTGAAAGAAACACTTGGGCTTTTTTTTTTTTTTAAATCAGTTGGCACTTAGTTTCTGACACTGTTTTTTTCGGGGGGTGGGGGCGGGATGCGGGTGGTGGAGATGCAGCCCAGGAGGAGGAGGTTGCATCTCCCCCGATGTTGTTAGATGCTGGGAATAGTTTATAGGGGGTGAAAGAATCGCTTTTCCCTGGGAAACGGGGCTCTGCCAGCCTGAAACGCTGTTTGTCTCTGCTCTGGTTTCTCAGACAAAAAAAAAACCCCAACACTAAGAACAAATTTCTCCCTCCCAGAATATCCCATTGCAGCAGATCTTGAAAGAAACACTTGGGCTTTTTTTTTTTTTTAAAATCACTTGGCACTTAGTTTCTGACACTGTTTTATTTTGAAAAAATCTTTTTTTTCTTTCCTTCCTGGAAAATTTTGACAGATTTGTGCTTTTTCTCCCATTAGAAAGCGCAGCCAACTTTCAGACTCTTTAAAATCCAGCGTGTCTTGTGGCGAGAGCCAAAAGAGCCGAGGACCAGGGTCTGCGGTGCGGGGGCACATCCGCACGTGGGCTGGGCAGACGCTCCATTTTGGGAAGGATTTTAAGAAAGCTGTGAGGTCTCGGTGCCTCCAGGCATATGAATAGGAAAGAATTTGCTTTTAGTTTTTTGAAAAGAAGTTTCTTGTGGTTCTGAGAGGAAAAAAAACCAACAACTTGGTGATGAAGCTGGAGCGCGCGCTCCTGCTTTAAAAAAAATGAGTGTAAAGAGGGGAAAAAGCCCCAGATATGTTCTTAGATGTGAAAGAATTGGGAATCTTAATTTTCTGGGCATCTTATGGGTTTTTTTCCAGTGTTTGGACTCGTGTTTGCACAAGCGACGCGTCTGAGCATGCCCCCGCACAGGGAAGCACAACCCGTGCCTGCAGCAGCGAGGCCATTAACTGGCAAATCCCCGGGTGACGGAGGGAATTACTGATGTAATTTGGGGATAAAATATGAAAAAAAAAACAGAAGAAATAATCCCCTGGCCCCGCTCTGCTTTCATGCTGGCCCATTAGGGGGTATTTGCCTTTGTTCGTTCTGCTTGCTCAGGGCTTTCTTAACGTGCCTGCCCTCGTCAGCCCAGGGGCTCATATTAATTAGCGCTGGCGCCCTGGTCCGCCTGTAATCTGTGGGTTTAATGGAACAATAGGTCAGTGTTAACGAACTGGCCCGGAGCGGCCCCATGGGCGAAGCCAGCCCCAGAGCTGGATGCGGGCTGGGGGGGGCTGGCCGGTGTCTCAGTGTGCTGTCACCGTGTCGCCTCAGCACGCGTGGGGACAAGTGGCCTCTTGGCATTTATTCCGATTCTCCGCGTTCAGCCGAGCACCTTGCCGACCGGGGAGGTGGTGCGTGGCTTTCGCCTTTGCTCTTTGCAAAGGATAAAAAAAACAACCCCAAAGCCCCGAAAGATAAATAAAAGGGCTCAGAAGTGCCAGCCCGCAGCTGGAGCGGGGGGTTCAGTGACGCATTTGTAGGGGTGTGATTGCTGTGGGCTGTTGGAGGTCCCGGCTGAGACCTGCCGCTGTCGTGTCAGGCAACGGACAGACCCCCAAGAGCTCAAGGTCAAAACACACGTGGGCAGGCGGAGGGCTGAGGTCAAAGCAGGACTTTTTGCGGGAGCCCTCGGGGTCTTGTGAATCCTTGTGCGACCGCTGCAGTCGAGTGCCTGTTTCTTGGGAGAAACCCCCCTGTTCGGTGACCGGCGCCTGGGAAGCAAAGCTGGGGGCTGCATCCTGCCTCCGCGGCTGAGACCTCCCTGGGAGCTGAGACCTGCCAGCTCGTTTCACTGGTGGGGGAACCGAATGGGAGAGATGGGGGATTAGCAGCAGACAGGACCGTACCCTTGCTCACGGGTGCACGTGGGGGGATGCCTGGGGTCGCCCCGCATTTCGGGAGGGGCAGCACGCCATGCTGGCAGGGCTTTTGGGGAGGGACGAGTCGCTCTGCGGGGTCTCAGTGAGGACTGATGGGTCTCTCTCTCCGCAGCTGGCTGCACCTTCGAGGAGGACGGCGACCCGAACCAGTGCGAGTACAGCCAGGGTGAGGACGATGACTTCGGGTGGGAGCTCGTCCGCAGCTATATGATGCCACACCTGACGGCCGACCTGCCTCACGGTGAGTCCCGGCCCCCAGTGGAGCCACGTTCATCCCCCCGCGTCCCCAGGGACCTCTGCTCCAAACCCACCCCTCGATCCCGTACCCCAGAGCCAAACCGCACGGCTTCTCCTGGTTTAATTCCCACAGCGTTTCAGGCTGTTGCCTGGGGTGGGGATCGACTGGGACTTGACTTGTCCTCGGTTGTGTGGGCAGGGTGGTGCTGTGCCTGCCGGCAAGGTGTGATGAGCTGTGTCGGTCCTCAGCGCGGTGGGGCAGGATGCTGCGTGGCCCTGGGGAGGGCGTCGCTTGGGGACAGGGGACCCTGCCGCTGCTGGGGGGAGGAGGGTTTTTAACAGCACAGCAGGGACAGGGACATCGGATGGCTCTGGGTACCTCTGAGCTCCGTGTCGCTGCCTTGGTGGGGTGTAACCCCATGCCACCCCAACCCACCCTGGGGAAGGCGGCTGGGGAAGCCTGCAAACGGTCCAGGCGTGTATTTTTGGGGTGGAAAGCCAAGATTTCCAGCTCCACTCCCTCTGCACGTGACCTCTACCATGGCTGTGTTTGCTACCCCCAGCCCTGGTCCCCAGGCTGGCCTGGGGGCTGCGTGGGGGACGTCCCCTCTGCCCTGGAATCTCTCAGCCTGCGGCAGCGGGATGGCAGCAGCTTGGGCGGCTTTCCACGCTTCCCGGCAGCATCTCCGGTGATGCCAAATTCCCCATCTGGTATCGAGCGTGGCAGCTGCTGCCAGCCGGGATGCACCCAGATCCCGTCGTGAAGGGGCACCTTTGGAGCCGCTCACCCTGCCTGGGATCTGCAGCCACCGCCGGCTCTTTCCTCACTGGTGCGTTGGCTTGTGCTGCTTTTGCAGGCTCATGAGAAATTCCCGTCTCTGGGAGATGTGGAAAAGGGGAAAAAGTGTGTTTCTGGCTCTTGCAAGTGTGGGGAAGGGCTCGTGGCTGTGCGTTGGAGGCATCTCCGAAGTCTCGGGAACTGAAAGGAAGAAAATGCAAATGGACTTTTTTCTTTTTTTTTTAAAACCTCATTGCTTTTAAACTGGTTTTTGTTATTTTCTGGGTCTAGCTCCTCTCTGATGGCCAGGCTGGGGGAGCAGAGCCAGCCGGCAGCCGTGGGGAGCTCCCCCTCTCCCACGAGGCTGGTGTGGGCACCGTGCCTGGGTGGCATTCGGGGGCTTTGCTTGCTCCCAGCTCCGGACTGCGTCCCGCTGTGACCCCCTTGAGGTGTCCCTGTACCCATTTGCTCTGTGAGATGCACCGGCCTCGAGATGCTCCTCGTTTTCGGGACCGCTGGCTGCTGCCTGGTCCCGGCGCTCCGGCTCCTCCTGCCCAGCCCGGAGGTCAGGTCCCATGCTGAAGATGGGCAGAGAGAGAGGAGAGCTGGTTTAGAGCTCGATAGTAAAAATGACTTTTTTTTTTTACGAAAACATTAATTGCTTTACAGAAAACTCTTTACTGCTCCATCAATCTGCCTCCAGCTGTTTATCTCATGCTTTGTTCATGCCAGGGCTTAATTTGGCTTTTCCCCTCCGCTAACCCTCCTCTTCCTTTACCTTCTCCTCTTCCCATCGCCTTTTCCTTCCTTTCCCGTCCCCGCTGGCATGTCCTGGGCGCTGGGTGAGGGCAAAACAACCCTTAGCCTGGCTGTAGGACTGCTGACAGATCCCTGCTCTCCCATGATGATTTTCCAAATAATTGCTTTAAACTGAACTATCCTAATTTGTTTGTGTCCTGGGGGAGGTTTCCCAGGGCAGTGAGGAGGGAAGCAGAGCTGGGGATTGAGATGGCTCATGATGGAGGGTTTTAAACATGTAATTAGTTGGGTTTTCTGCTCGATTTTCAGCTGTAATTTAAAACCTGCAGCAAAGTGCCCGAGTTTAAAGCCTGTGGGCTTGCAGGGGGCTGAAGGGGTAAGGTGGAATGGGGCTGCTTTCTCTGCTTGAGGAAATAACCGTGGGTTAGCAAGAGTTGGGGGCTTAAATGAATGCAAAGTTTAAGAAATAAACTCCAGAGTTGATGGGGAAGTGGATGCAACTGTCCCAGGTGGGATGCTATGAGGCTGAGCTGTGAGCATGGAGCATCGCAGGGTCCGGTCCCCGGGAAGGGCACCCCTCCCCGATGCTGATCGATGGTGACGCCCAAAGGGATGCTCGTCCCCATAGCCGGGGGCTCCCCTAATACCGGGGAGATACTGTTTGCTCGTGGTCTTGGGGCACCCAGTGGGTACAGGGACCCCGTTTTTGTGTAGTTTCACCCCGGCATGCCTGGGGAGCTGTGCATGAGGCTCCTGCAGCCTTATCACCCCTCTTGGTTCCCCCCAGCAGCTCGGTGGGTGAAGAGTATTTCACAGCACCGGGGCCTCTCCAGGGAGCACTTTCTAAAGGAGTCTCCTGGTCTTAGATTAAAATGAGTTTTTATTGGAGATCAGCTAGTTTCAAGGAGCACAGGATTTATGGAGTGGATGTTGGAGTGGATGCTGGCTGCTGGCCACCCGCCTCTACCTTTGCATCCCTCTTTCTTTTTCCTTTCTTGTTTGGTTTGGTTTTTTCCCCCCTCTCTTCCCATCTTGACTTGTCTCCCTCTTTCACGTAAAGCCAAGGGACGGGTCTCTCCCGCGGATGGGTCTCTCCCATGTTGCAATCGTGATTTTTTTTATTTTTCAGGTCTTTATTGTTGTTTTTTAAAGGAGCAGTTGCAGGGAGCCAGGTAAGGCAGGCATTAGGATGCACTGTCGCTGTGTCTGCACCAAAATACCTCTCCCTGGATGCTTCGGGTGTATTTTCCTCCTGCTCTCCCCCAAGCATTGTCTCTGCGTGCCAGGCTGGTCCACATCTGCCTTCAGGCTCTGCAATATCTAATCTCCTAGAAGCCCCGCTGTTTCGAAGCTGGGGAGAGGAGGGACAGCGTGTGCCTTGCTCTGCAGCACCTGGCGTTGCTGGGCACCCACAGGGCTTGCAGGATTCGGCCGGATCCCAAAGGCCTTTGAGGAGCAGGGGACCGGGTGGTGGGGTGGTCCAGCAGGCAGGGATGGGACAGGGGAGTGAAATCGGGCTGATTTCTTGAGCTCCTGGGGTGAAACACGCGTTGAGGTTACTTAATGAACATCGAAATAAAACAGGGTGTTTAGGTTAAGCCCTGTATGAATTTGGATGGGACAGGTCCAGGATGGAGCATGGGACAGAGCCGAGGTTGGGTCCCTGTCCTCACCCCTGCAGAGATGCGGGGTGCCCCTTCGAGGACAAGGATGCTCTGCGGAGCTCCAGGGTCTCCCCGGGAGAGGTGCAGGCCCCTCTTTTTGTCACTGGTTGAATTCGCATTTGGAAGTTCAAAGGAGGTGGGGTTGGGAGAAGCTGTGGCAAAAACTCCCCGTGGAGGGTGTGTGCCCTCCTGCCCCTCCATAGCCCGGTCCTGGGGACCGGAGCACCCAGGCCCCTCCGTTCTGCACAGCTGTACTCAAAAATACTAAACCATCATATTTGTGGGTGGGTTTTATTTCCGAATGGCTTTTTTCCTAGGTTTTCCTTCCAAACTCAGTGACACTAGAAAACCCTCCGTGAATCGGAGTTTCTGTTCCCTACTTGGCTCTTCCCTCTCTCCATGCACGGAGCTGCCGTCGCGCTCCCCACGCAGCCGCGTCGCGATGCCCCGGCACGGCCGTGTCGGGGAGTGACTGAGCCGTTGTCCCCACCCTGATGAGCTCCGTGTCCCTCCATCCCCTCTGAGGAGTCGCTCCTTCAGCTGATAGCTCCGGCATCGCTTCCTGACAAGCTCCTGCTGCGTATCTGTAAAAACCTTGAAAAATTAAGCTTGATTTTTGGCTCCCCGGGGAATTACTCTGGTCTGTCCAAGGACCCCGTGGCGGTGGCAGATCAGCCCTTGGTGCTGGGGCTCCCCTGGGAGATGCTCGTCCTGGGGCTCGGCGCAGAAGAGGGGAGCGGGTACCCTATTCCCGTGCTGGCTCTGACGTGTTGAGAAGGAAAACCGGCGCATGAGGAGGCACCGCCGGGCTTCATCTTCCAAAGCGATTTCCTGGAGGCAGACGCTGCAGCGCTCAGACCTGGTCCCCTGGCACCTCTTGGCTGGCAGTGCCGCCCTCTGCCTGCCATCCTGCCTGCCTTTTGCTGCCTTTTAATAGCTCTTTGATTTTTATTTATTTATTTTTTTTAATTTTATTTTTATCTCTCGGTGGTTTTGTAGGAGGAAAAACTCAGCGAGACAGGGAAGCGGGAGGGAACGGGTTCTTCCCTCCTCTTCTTGCTGGGCTGTTTTGGGTTTTTCCCGGAGGGATGCAGGTAGCTGCAGGGAGGACCCTCGGGACGGGCAGCGCGATGGGGAGAGCTGCTCCTTCCCTGCGGGCAAGCAGGGCTTCAGCCCAAAGCTGGGGAGAAAATCCTTGGGAGCTCATGGCTCTCAGATTCACGTCCAGGGTTATTGGAGGCACCGAGTTATCCTCAAAGACCTGATTTGAATCCCAAGGAAGGGCTGCTGACCCCACAAGGGGGAAAATTTGGCTGGAGACCCCGCGTGAGGACTCTGCTGGGATGGGTACAAGGCTTTCTGTGCACAGCCCCTCTGGGCTGATTTTGCAGCTTAAACCTCGTCGTTGACTTTTGTGTTAACAAATCGATGGTTTTCCTGTAGGGAACGTTGCTGGAAACTTGTTTCTTTTTTCATTTGTTTGATTGAAATATTATTTAGCACTTTTTGAGTCTTTTCTCTTCCTCCACAGAGCACTTAGGTGGGCTTTTAGAGAAGAGCCCAAAAACTAAATTAAATTATATTGCTGCAGCCGAGCTGAGGGGGGACGCAGAGGGGCTGACTTGTTATTTGCGGTGACAAAGCAGGGGTGACAGCTCGCCTGGACCGTGCTGCAGGCTGCAGCCGAGCTGAGGGGGAGGGGCTGAGGGCTGACTTGTTATTTGCGGTGACAAAGCGGGGGTGACAGCTCGCCTGGACTGGCATCTTGATTCAAACCGACCTTAAACTGAGGATCAGAGGAAGGATTTAACGAGTGAAGCACGGTATCGATGTGTGCCTGAATCCCGTCCTTTGGTTTGAAGTCTCAACCGGGGGATGCCCCGGGGCCGTTTCTGTGGCTCCCATTTCGTGGGAGGTTTGGAAATTATTTTCCCCGTCATGAGTTTTGGAGCAGCTTTTTGCTGTAATGCCAACACATAGACAGGGCTCAAAAATAACCCCAGCTGTGCCGATGAGCTGTGATAGTGCATCAACCCTCCGGCTGCCGGGAACGGTCCTGCTTGTCCCCCCCAGCTCTGGGACGCAGCAGGGCAGGGACGCCCCCTCCTCTCCATCCCCATCTCCGGCTTTGCCGGCAGGAATTAAGATAAGCTTTAAAAACTGGAATTTGGCCGTTTGCATAGCTCTTGCTGCAGCTCTGTTCTTGCCCTGGCTGGGAAAGCTGCCGGATCCTGGTGGAAGCTGAGGACCCGGTGGGGTGGGGGCTCGGCGGGACCCCGCAGTGGTGGTGGATTAACGGGGAACAAGTGGAAGGGGTCTGGGGGACGCCGGGGTCCTTGCTGTATCACCCTGGGAGGGGCTGCGCAGCCCCCTTGCCCCCCAGGAGCATCCCCTGGTGCCGCCTGGCAGCGTCCCAGCCAGATCAAGAGACCAAGGACGAGCAGGTTGGTGACCTGCGGTGGGACCGTGTCCTGTGGGGTGGGTGGTGGCAGCGTCAGCGCAGGCTGTCACCCTCTTGTCACCCTTTTGTCACCAGCTGGCTGTCCCGCTGCCTCCTTGAGCTCTCTGTGCGCCGGTGCTGCTGGTGGGAGCACCCAGGCGGGGCTGTGCTGCCATTTTATTGGGGTGCATTAAAAAAATGACCAAAAAACCTCGCTGAAAACAAAAAACATCCCCTGCAAAAAAACCCCAGGGGCTGCCGAGGGAGTTTGTAACCCCCAGCCACCTCTCTGCGAGGAGCTGCCTGCCCCAGGACCTTGTCCGTGCCAGGGGATTGCTCCGGTGCAGGATGCAGCACCCTGATGCAGGATGCAGCACCCCAACACAGGGACAAATACCTCTGCTTCTCCTGCGTTAAAAAACCCCCAACCCATACCCTGGATTTGAAGCTGAAGCTGGGACCGGTCATTTATGGGGAGGAGGATATAATTAGCACAAAAGCGAGCGGCGGGAGCCTGGTTTCTCCAATGCAGCAATGCTGGGAAGAAAATTAAGGGGGAAAAATAGCGCGTGGGGGAAGCCCTGCCAGATGAGTGATGATTGCCACCCATTCGTGTCCGTGGTCCCAGCTGACCTTAACGGACATTCTCCGTCTTTTAAAATAACTTGTCAGTGGTTTAATTTTAGTCTTGGTCTCTTTATTTTGGTCCTCTGGCTTTCTGTTTTTAAAGGGAGGGGAGGAAAAAGGGTCTGCGTTCATTAATGAGAGCCTGGAAGATTGAGCGGTTGGAGGTGGCTTTTGGAAGATGTCCCCTGGCGCGGGGCGGGCCGGCGTTCGCTCTCCACGCTGCGGTCGCCTGGGCCAATTGGAGCCACTCTCGTTAGTGCAGAAATAATTTTGCTGGAGGAAAGGAGGGGGGGGGGGAAGAGAAGGAATACGGACGTCGTGCCTTCCCGCCTGTCTGTGAAATGCGGCTGTCTTGACTACAAGAAAATAAATTGTTATCATTTTATTTCACCCTGAATATCTGCCCGGAGGGGCTGGCAGCACCAGGCAGCCGTGCGGATCGGTGACACGGTGAAAATTTTGCTTCTTGGCGATTTCTTTCCCCTGTCCCAGCTCTGTCTTTGAAGGATGCACTGGAGGATGCACTGTGGTGCGGTACCCGGCACTGCGTCTCCCCAGCTGATGCTGTGACCCCCTGGGTGTTTTGGGGTCCCCCCCAAGCATTTCGGGGTCACCCCAGGTGCAGCTCCCAAACGCTGGGGGGGACGGATGGGTGCCCCCCCGCTGCCTTCACTAGGTTTTTCTTGGTGCCCACTTGCAGGGAGCTGATGGGAGGAAAGCATGTGAATTTGTTAAAATTAACTGGCGGTGAAAGCTATTAATAATTAAGCGCCTACTGTCAGGAAAACAACGGTAGACTCAAATAAATGGCCCGGCTTTGTTACTTACAGCTGCTACTATTATTAAAATGGAAGGGATATTAATAATCCCCTTGCCTTTGGTGTTGGGGAGGGTTTGGTAGGGCAGCTTCCCATCCGCCCCGTGTCCCGGCCCCATGGCCGTGCCAGATGGCTCTGGGAGCTGCCGTGAAGATCCGGGTCTCCTGCATCCCCCTCCTGCCTCCGGACCGCCTGGGATGGAGCACGTAGGGCAGGGAAGGATGCTGCCTTTGGGATCCCCTTTGGGATTTTCATCCTGCCTGCCCCGTAAGTACGGCAAGCGCCGGGACTCCTGGTTTCATTGCTGGGGATTTTGGGTGATGGGAGATGGGGTACCAGTGGCTGCCGGTGGTCGGGCAGTGGGGAGCCGGGTCTGGTGTGGGCATCCCGGAGAACCATGGTGCCAGCATCCTTGAGAGCCGCTGTGCCGGCATCCCGGAGAGCCGCGGTGCTGCCGCTCGTTAAGCCGATGAGCGGTTTTTTCCTCTCTGTGAGCGCCTGCTGAGCACAGTTTAAACTCGGCGACAACTGCGTGGTAAATGATACGAGGCGATGGGAATGGAAATTAAACATCTGGGGCCTGGCTGGGGAGGGCAGTATTGACGCAGCTGAAGCTGTGAGCATTAAAGGAAAGCAGGCGGAGGGTCTCTGGTGGCATCGAAGCCATTACCGACCCTGGTGTCCTGGGGGACTGCGGCTGTGAGCAGCTTATCCTGGAGGCAGCGGGTCTGATCCTTCCCTCCTCGTCCAGCAGCCAAGTCCCCTTTCGGTGTCCTGCTGCTGCTCAAATGGACACCTGACACTGACTCCATCCCTGGTCCCTGGCTCCTGTCCTGCATGTCCCTGCGGGCTGGCATGGGACGGGTACCCAGTGGGACCCGGGCATCGGTGCAAGGTCGTGTGCATCTTTGCAATCTTGCATCCTCCACCTTCTCAATCGCTGCCGGCAAAGCTCAGGAAATGCGGAACAGGAGGATTACTCCACTCTCTCCCTGCTTCTCCCTCCTGCCACAGGCTCCTACCTGATGGTGAACTCCTCGCAGCACGCCCCGGGCCAGAAAGCTCACCTGCTCTTCCAGGCGCTGAGCGAGAATGACACCCACTGCCTCCAGTTCAGCTACTTCATGTACAGCCGGGACGGCCACAGCCCCGGCACCCTCAGTGCCTATGTCCGGGTGATGGGGGGCCCGGTGGGCAGCGCTGTCTGGAACGCCTCCGGCTCCCATGGCCACCAGTGGCACCAGGCGGAGTTGGCTGTCAGCTTGTTCTGGCCCAGCGAGTACCAGGTGAGCCCTAGTGGACCCCCCCCCCTCTTGCATGACCCGGACCCTCCCTTGCACGACCTGGACCCCCCCCCGGCAATGGGTGACCCTCTGTTTGGTGCTGCAGGTCCTCTTCGAGGCGGTGGTCTCCAGCGAGCGCAGGGGCTATCTTGGCTTGGATGATATTTTGCTCTTGAATTATCCATGCTGTGAGTGTCACGGGATGGGACCCGAGGGTGGGGGACCCCGAAGGGCAGCGGGGTGGTGGGCGCTGCTGAGCTGGGCTGGGCAGCAGGGTTCAGAGCTGGTGCCCATTGGGATGGTCCTGGGGAAGCTGATGGAAATGCCATGGTGCAGCCTCGTGGCACCTGGGTGTCCTGTCGTCACCTGGGCATTCATCTGGGCTTCATCTCCTGGGTACTTCTGGGGCTCCTTTTTCCATCTCCGTCACTGAATTTTTATAAAACCTCAGAGAAATGCAGGCTGAACGCGTGGCCTGAGCATCCCCATCGAGAGGGGCCACCCGGGCTGGTGGGGACCTGAAATCCCAGGCTGTCCCAACACATTGGCTGTCGGGGTTCACCCCCTATTTCTCCCAGGCTGGGGTAGGAGACCTGCCCCCCTCTATCGACCCCAATAGCCTGCATCTGGCGACAGCGCTGCGGGATGCTGGAGGGGAAGGCTGCATCCCTCCCTGGGACACCGGCTGGTTGTACGGGAACGGGAACAAGTTCCTGATTCCGAGCTGGGCTGTGAGGAATGGGGATCAAGCCTGTCTGGAGCTTGGCTCCAGCCCTGGCATCCTGGGTGGGTTTTTGGGCTGTGGCGGGATTTTTGCAGCAATGCTACTGCGGGTCCCCTCGGAGCTCGGCCGCTTCGTCACCTCTCGCTTGCGTCCCTCGGCAGCGAAAGCGCCTCATTTCTCCCGCCTGGGCGACGTGGAGGTCAACGCGGGGCAGAACGCCACCTTCCAGTGCGTGGCCGCCGGCAAGGCTGCTGAGGCCGAGCGGTTCCTCATGCAGGTGAGCAACGGCGGTGGTGAAACCAGCATCTCCACCATCAACCCCGTGCATTGCTTCTGCAACGCCTCCGTGGCTCCCCTTTGGGAGAAGACACTGCTGGGCAGGGGGGAGAAGGGTCATCCCTCCCCCTTTTAAGCAGACATCATTTGGGGACATGTTTGGTGGCTCTGGATGTCACGCCGTGCCTCCTGGTAACGTCTTGTCTCTCCCCGTGGGGCAGAGGCAGAGCGGCGAGGTGGTCCCTGCCGCCTCCGTGAAGCACATCAGCCACCGGCGCTTCCTGGCCACCTTCCAGCTGGACGAGGTGTCCAAGGAGGAGCAGGACCTGTACCGCTGCGTCACCCAGTCCAGCCGTGGCTCGGGCGTCTCCAACTTCGCCGAGCTCATTGTGAAAGGTGAGTGACTTGCTGTTGCCCGCCGGGTTTCTGGGTGATGGACGGGCTATTTCTGCTCCGCTGTTTGCAGAGGAAGGTGGGCTGCTTGGGGCGGTGGGATCGCAGTTTCTCGCTGGGAATGAGTTGCTACGCGTGGATGGTTCAACGTAAAACCAGGAAACTACCTTTCCCGGTGGCCTTAGATCATTTATTTCTGATTGCAGTAGGTGGGAATTAATTAATTATGGTGAAACTGTGCAGCACCATGCTGGGCAGTGTATCTTATAAAGATAATTAAGGTTTGATCAGATGAAACCCTACTGCAGCTGTTAAAGCCTCGCTAAAAGTGGTGGAGGGCATATGTGCAGGCTGAAGTTTAAAGACTGGATGGTGCCCTCCTATACTTTGGTGTCAATCCTCACGTCCTCTGGGTGGGGGATCCGAGTTTGTCCCGTGCCCCGCAGTCCGAAGGTGATGGGGTTGTTTGGGAAGAGGTGTTGTGAATGTCTCGACTGTAGCTAGTAGAAAAAGAAAAAAAAAAAAATAGCGGTAGCTGTGGCTGTGCCGGTGTTGCCCTGGCTCCAGGGCTGGGGATGCTGTGGAGCTGCTTCTGGAGGGGGATGCTCCACCTGCCCCATCTCTGCTCTCTTCCAGAGCCCCCCACGCCCATTGCACCCCCCCAGCTGCTCCGGGCCGGCTCCACCTACCTCATCATCCAGCTCAACACCAACTCCATCATCGGGGACGGCCCCATTGTGCGCAAGGAGATCGAGTACCGCATGACCTCGGGGCCCTGGTCAGAGGTCCACGCTGTCAACATGCAGACCTACAAGCTCTGGCACCTGGATCCGGACACGGAGTACGAGATCAGTGTCCTGCTCACCCGACCCGGCGAGGGGGGCACCGGCAAACCGGGGCCGCCCCTCATCAGCCGCACCAAGTGTGCAGGTGGGTCCCATGCTGCATCCCGGCCACCCCGGGTAGGTGGCCTTGGGCAAAGGTCCCCTGCCACCATGAGCCTTGGGGAGCGCGGTTGGGGCTGGATGGGTGCCGAAGGCATTTGCCGCTGTGGTCCAGGAGCTTGAAGCATCGCTCCTCATCAGCCGCACCAAGTGTGCAGGTGGGTCCCATGCTGCATCCCGGCCACCCCGGGTAGGTGGCCTTGGGCAAAGGTCCCCTGCCACCATGAGCCTTGGGGAGCGCGGTTGGGGCTGGATGGGTGCCGAAGGTATTTGCCGCTGTGGTCCAGGAGCTTGAAGCATCGTCATGGACATTGAGGAAAAATGTCTTTACTGAAAGAGTGGTGAAACATTGGAACAGGCTGCCCAGGGAGGTGGTTGAGTCCCCATCCCTGGAGGTATTTAAAAGAC